GGCCTGTGGTTTGGCGATTGTATTTCCTTATTGATATAATGGCCACGGACGCAAGGCCTCCTGGGATTGCTGTGTGACCGCAGGCCCGACAGTTACGCTGGCGGGTTCTGAAACACAGCCGGGGCTTTCTGGACAGATGAGAAGTCTCAAAATTTCCCTTTTCATTTCCTCTCTGGTGTGACTTTGTCATTTTTTGAAAAAAGCTAGTAGGAAAGGGAATTTTGCCTATAGATTTAAGTTTATCTGGGCTGACTAGCTTCCGTTTCATACTCCCCAAACAATCCCACCCCTCAAACAAACCCAGACTTAAGGAAAAACACCAATTCTTGCAGACCCCCTCCCCCCAACCTCCCCGCCATGGTCTTGTGTTTGGTCAACCTTCTTTGCAGGCCAGATGTATAACAAGCAAATTTTAGAGACACTCAGACCTCCCCACACCATTGTCAGGGTCAGGGCCTGAGAGTTCAAGGAAAGCCCTGCTGGTCTTTCTGGAACTTTTACTCTTCCTGTCCACCTGAGTCTTTGAGGGCAAATGTTCCCAGGACTCCTCTTTAAGTTCCAAGATAAGTGGAAACAGATGCCATTGCTGCATGACAGAACTCACTGACCATAGCACACACCAGTTCTGCTGGCTGGAGATGTGGGGCTGGCCAGTACCCCAAACATCTGGCATCCCAGAATAGTTCCCCGAAACAGGCTGCCTCTGTCCTGCCTGAACTGATCAGGCCCTGTGGCCCACAGACAGCTCCAGACTCTGCCCCTGAGTGACTGCTCTCTCCCTCCAGGAGATGAAGGACAGAAAGACAGTGCACTAACACCCCCAAACTCTTTCGGGCTCACTGGGCCTGTGTCCTCTGCCTCACATCTTGAACATGCATGTTTGCATGTAAGCATGCACATATGTGTCCTTTACATCATTGGTCACAGCCCCAGAACTTCTTTTAAAGAGAACGTTTGGAAGCAGTGTGTATTTCAAGACTCCAGAAAATTATCAGTCATGTCAACTCTCATCAGAAGACTTCACTCAGTTTTTCTGTGCTGATCCTGGGGACCTGTAACCCGAAACTTATAGCTTAGATGATTGCATGGTGTCTTCTCTCTCCCCCTCTCTGACAAGCCTGTAAAATCTGCCCCAAACATGTCACTGAGGCCACAAGGAAGTGCAATCTTGCCAAGAGTAGGAGCTAACAACTGCCAAAGTCTTAAGGTTACTGAGAGAGCTGGCACCATGTGGGAGGTGTGCTGGTCTACCATGTGTGCACACAGGTTCCATGATATACACTGTGTGTGCCCAGGAGTACAGGGGTCCCTCAGGATCTACAGGGACTAGTTCCAAGATCTGAAGATGCTTATCTCTGATATAAAATGGAATATTTGTGTGTAACATGCATATCCTTCTGAATACCAAATCATCTCTGGATGACTTCTCATACCCAACTCAGTGTAAATACTGTGTAATGGCTGTTGTGCTGTACTGTATGAGGATGGTGACAAGAACAAAAGGCCTGCGTATGTATTATACAGACACAAATATCCTCCTATCCTAAGCTGGTTGAATTCATGGATGCAGAAGTCAAAGGTACAGAGGCTCAACTCTACTCTGTGTGTGTGTGTGTGTGTGTGTATCTGCATCTGCGTGGGCCTACATTTGTGAGTCTATGCATCCACTAGGTGTACATACTGTGTGTGCATACAAGAGCATGCAGACCATTTAGGAAGGTGTGCACTGTGCTTGTGTTCTGTATGTGTGCACTGTATGTATTACATGTACTATGTGAGCATCCTGTGTAGTCTTGCATCTGTTCCATTCATGTGGCACACCACATGCCACAGGTCTGTGAGAACAATGACAGGAGGGACCATGTGTGCTCTTCAAGGTATTTGGACACAGACCACTATGAACACCTATGAATGGGCTGTGAGGTGAGCTTGCTGGCCACCACGTAAATCACTCAGGACAGCCATTAATCATCTGCCTTCTGCCCATTGATATTGAACAACAATCTCTGAGGTTGTACAAAGACAGGCCACCTTGTTGTATTTCTCCCTTCTGTCTCCCCAGTCCCCAGTGAGAGTTTCTCCTCTCTCTCTCTCTCTCTCCTTTCTCCCCTCTCCCCTCCCCTCTCCCCCTCCCCTCT